CTAGCACGGGTGCCATCAATTTTATCAACTTATAATATAGCTGTCGTTGCGATGAAACTGATTTAATTGATTTTTAAACGTACTGGAAAAATCTAACGCGGATAGTGGAGCACAGAGGGAAGTAAGGCGGTAACATAATAAATAACATTATGTTGCTTTTTTTACTTGATTTTTAAAAAAAATGTTCAAAATTGATGTTCGACGTTTGCATTTTTACACTTTGCGAATGTTTCATAACGAGATGATTTTTCTTAATTATAATGAGATAGAGTATTTTATCTGGTTTGTCAAACAATATAGTATAATCATTCGTGTTGGTGTACATATATACTATCGATGGATATAAAGCCGCCATTGACTTTTAATTAGAATATCTTCTAAACGTTAAATCATGATGTGTTGGTTATCAGCACATTAGATAGAACCCATGTATAGGTAAGAAATTTACTGAAATACTTTTTTAAGGAGTAAAAGGTTGGGCAATAGAAAGAGTGATTTCCAAATGTATTTAATTGGGAAAATCGCTCGTTTTTATGACCCTATCCTATATTATCCAATTAGGATGAGTCCTGTGGAAGATCTCCTTCTCTTTAGTGAAGTTCGTCATAGGTATATTTGTATTTTCTTGAAAATAGTGGTATTAAAATATTTAGCGACAGAGATTTTAAAACTTTTAAATTAAATAACTACCAAGAATCATCATGCTACTTTCTTACTGTGTTGGTTTGTACTGTAGAGGTTTAGACTGTACCTACTTGCTTGTTTGAATACTTGCTACTATGCTGTTTAAATAACCATCGTAATTATTGAGCCACTGTGCTAGTATAGTTTTGTACTTGATTTATACCGTACTATAATATGATTTATACCGTATATATGTATGCACCGATTTATAACGTTTTATATATATACGATTTATACCGTATTTTTTTTTATAGTTTGAACTGTACTGGCAGTGGCGCCAAATCATCCACTAGCATCTGGAGGAAAAAATATTTTACACCCACCCACCCAAAACAATTTCACTCATAACATACAAATATTATCAATATTTAATCCTATAGTATAACGTTGTACTAGGTCTTCCACTAAGTTTAGATTAGCCATCCACCTCATCCATTAAATCAATGGGGTAATACACCACCCGACATTTGGGTTCGGCGCCACTGTGTAGATACTGGTTTAGATTGTGCTTGGTTTATACTGTACTAAATACCGTGATGCCGACCGTTGCCGACCGTGATGCCTATAATCTTTTTTTTCGTACCCTCTGTAAGAAGTTTAACTTCAAAAAGTTATGGTGTTTACAGAAACAAAAAAAAACACACACACATCATTTAAGAATCAATACCTACTTAGCTCCGCATCGAAATTAAATTGATTTATTTGAGTAGCATATTAACTAATCAGAAATGGTAACCAGGAGGTACTTTTGAGAACAGAAGTCTAAAGTTGAAAAAGTCTACTGAGTTTCTGCAGGTCAATTTAACAGGGCTGTTGAAAAATATTTATACGTTTTACACCATTATTATTGTTTTTAAAAGTCGATTTTTTTAATTTATTTTAATTTTATTGTAACGATACCAACGCATACCGTATTCGCAACACATGACTGGTTGATTTTGAAACCGTGCACTCGTTTAACTGTCAATATCTATCTTTATGAATATATATATAATAACTAAAGTAGATTAAAAAATTAATCTAAAAATAACGTTTTTATGCGCTTTAAAAAGTATGAAATAACTTTCCGGGGGTCTTGATAACCAAATAGGACAGGTGAACTAGAAAAACGTGGGCTGCAGAAAAGGCTGCATGGTCAGAAGGATTATCATAAGAATTAGTAATCGATTTAAAAGCTTATAATTTTAGATTTATTACTTTATAAATTATCATAAAAGTTGAAATCAAGTTGTAACTACTATATAAATTATCATAAAAGTTGAATAAAAGTTGTAAGAAAATGCAAAAAATTGTAATGATGGGAACGGGTTTGAACCTGGTACCGCTCATATCTGAGCACCGTTCACGCCCAAACGCACCACGCATAATTTTTGCTGGCGGGTGAGAAATAAGTCTTTTTGAATTGCAAGATTCCACCCGGAACGACGGACAAGAAATCGACCCCAATTTAACCCCCTTAGGGGTGGAATTTTCAACCTCTAGTGAATTAATAATGCATTGTCATCGAATTGTGAGCTACCCTGAAAGTTTCAGCCGGATAGCTAATCGGGAAGTGCTCGAAATTTGAGTTGCAAGATTCCACCCGGAACGACAAACAAGATTGTGAGTTCATAAAAACGTTATAAAAATCTTTAGTCACGATATTTGTCGACGAATGACGCCGAAACTACTTAACAAGGCTTGATGAACCTTTTTACACTGTGTGTAATTTGGTCCAACTTGAAACATAGGATAGGTTAAATAGGAAAAATTGGAAAATTTAATATTTTAGTGAAAGTTTATTCCAATAGATATGCTACGTATACAAATATCACAGCTGACAACTAATCAGCTGACATATGGACGGTTGTAAGCTGATCAAATTTATTCATAGTTTCTGGCCAAAAAGACATGGTTTCACATTTCACTTCAAATCACTAAAAAAGTATAAGAAGTCTAACCTCAACAATGCGTGTAGCAAAAAGGCACGACCAGTGCCGCAACTACCATTATAGAGGCCCCGGTGCAGGCTGATTTTAGAGGCCCCTATTTACTATAATGCTCACCCAAAGTTTTGTAGGGTCCCCAATTATAAAACTAAAGTTAAACCCTATTTAATACTTACTTAATCTTAATAAGAGCTGAACTATAATTGGCAGGTAGCTTCAACTTAAACGCTTGAATACTTTTTTTTTTAATTACCTTTATACTTGTTACATACGTGTATAAATCAGTTTATTACAAAAACAAAAAAATCTTGAAACATATTATGATTTAAATATGTGTATAAGTTATAACATGTCAAAAAAAAAATGTATGTAACAATAATTATAATTCAATTTTGGTTTATTTAAGACAATTTTGTTTTCTTGCTTTTTTAGTAGCAAATATTTGAATTATTTTGTTTATATCCAATTCTTTTGTTCTTCCTCATTCAATATTTAAAATACTTATGTTTATCAGGCGATCTTGAGACATTGCATTTCTTAAGTAGTTTTTTATGATTTTTAATTTTGAAAACGATCATTCTGCATTGGCTACAGTAACTGGCAATGTTATAAATATGATACATGCACTAAAAATATCATTGTACATAGAGGCCATATCATTTTCTAAAATACATTGTAAAAGGTGTTTAATACAATGTAAATTTTTTAATGAATCCTTTAATATAGATTTAAGGGATAGAATTTGCCTTGTTATATCAGTACTTAAATCATGTTTGTAAAATATTTGAAAGTCGTAAGATGCTTTTGTGATATCTTCTTCACTAAATGATAATATATTATGCGGTACCAGAAATTCAAATCTTTTAGTAACCTCAAATAATCCTTTAAATACTAATCCTTTGAATCTTTCTTGAAGTTGTAAAATTGCTGTATCTATAACTGGTAAAAAAACCATCACACGAAGATTGTCTTCAGAACTATCGAGTCTTCTATCACCGGCAACATCACCAAAAATCTTTTTTGAATACACACGGCGACAATTAGTTTTTTGGATTGGTATATTACACTTATTACATTGCTCACTTGCAGAAGCAACTAGCTCTTTATAATGATCCCTTAAACTTATAATAGAAGAAGAAGCCTCCTTTAAAAATGTACATGCATCATGAAGATTTGTATTTAGGCTCTGTAATTTTTTAGATACTAAATGGAAGTTCCTTAATATATTTTCCCAGATTGTTAGTAATAAAATAAACTCAAATGATTCAATATTTTTTTTTTAGTCCAATAGATGTGCAGCGGCTGGGTGCGGGCGCGTAGATAGTATCATAATACAATAAATCTATATATAGTTTTGGAAACTTATCACTCCTGTTATTAGATAATACATGGAAATAAATGGAATAGTTTTTTTTCTTAAATAAGGTGGTTATCTGTGTTTGGTCTCCATTTAATTTTTATATAAATATTTATAGCCTTTATTTATACGACACACGTTTGGCTATCGAGTGGTCATATAATCATAATATCGATAACTACAGAAACAAAATAAAATTTATGAACGTGATAAACGTCTGCGACAACATATATATACAAATGATCCATCGGAAAAAGTATTTTCTAAGCAATTGCTGGATATTGGAAGCTGTGAAATAGAACTGCATCCAAATACCCAATGCATCAAATTGCCAGACAATTTCTGCACTGTTGTTCAGACAAAAAATGAATTATCGATGTCTCGGATATACTGAATAATTACTTGGATCATAATTGGCTCAGAAACGTACTATTTTGGCAACAAAAATTGTTTGATGTTGACGAAATTAACTTTCAGATACAACAGTTGTTGCCAGGTGATCTAATATCTTTTAAATCAATCGACACTATTGTTGATGACAATGAAACCGTATATTTCCGATTAGCGCTTAATTAAATTTTATTAATATAAACTAATAATTTGTATAATTTGTAAGTACTATGTTTCAAATGTTTTTCTTAACCCGTGCGAAGCTGGGTACACGGGCAGCTAGTATATATATAAAAATTTCCAATCACGATGTTTGCCGATGATGGACTTTGAAACTACTTAACTGGTATTGATGAAATTTTTTACACTGTGTGTAATTTGGTCCAACTTGAAACATAGGATAGATTAAATAGGAAAAATTGGAAAAGGTGTTCGGAAAATTGAAAAATTTAATATTTTAGTGAAAGTTTATTCCAATAGATGGCGCTACGTGTACATATGGACGGTTGACAGCTGATCATATTATATTCATAGTTTCTGGCCAAAAAGTTCCGATTGTTTTAATAATTATTTTTATAACTGTCCTATCGATTTGGAAAAAATTCTAGACTATCGGACACGGTTTTATTACAAAGGACGAGATGCTTGCGGTTGACTTACTGGCCGGAGCGGTTGGAGGATGCGCTTCCGTGTTCGTGAGTCAGCCGTTAGACACGGTCAAGGTGAAAATGCAGCTGTATCCCCACGTGTACAAAAGTATGTACTCGTGTTTGACCCAAGTTATCCGGAAAAATGGAGTGAGAGGAATTTACGCTGGTACAACACCTGCGCTCATGTCGAATTGCGCTGAAAACGCAGTCATGTTCGGTACATATGGGCAATGTCAGAAAATAGTCGCATCCATTACCAATGCAGGTGTTGAGACCAAGAACTTGAACTACCTGCAAAACGCCGCGGCCGGTGGCATAGCGTCGGTCAGTACTTAACAAAGATATTAATAGTAAATTAGTTATAAAAATGGAGAGAAATGTCAAATGTATTATGTAATTGTCGTATACAAGCTCTAAAGAACAGTTGTGCTGCTGGTTCTTAGTGGATTTGGCTCTGTAGAACAAATTATTAAAGCAGTTGATAAGAGCACGGAGGATCAGCATGTTAGTGGTATGTTTATCGTGGCTTCAATACACAGAAATAAGAGAAATTCGTGAAGTTAGAAGGAAGCGTATTAGCCAACAGCCATAACGTAGAGGGATTCGTGTGGCAAAGCCCCATGTTTATTGATGTAAGACTCCCTCAACATGGTCAACTATTATAATTTCATAAGCGTTTTTTTTATTTCTCTTTTATTATTTTTATTACACAATAACTATAGCATAGAGAACCCTCATAATAAACCTAATGATTCATATACAGAAAAAATTAATTCCACAAAGATATGCATAGACCATACGAAAATCCAATCGGAATCCTCATATTTTAGGGACATTATCTCCCTGTACGGTTCCACAGATAACTCTTATTTTACTAAAATCCTATACGATCCGATAAGTGTATTTATACCGGAGTCCACTTTTGGTAAACTCATAGAATATTCTGTAAGTCTTCTGATGATATTAGAGGAATAGCTGATGTAGTGACGAGCTGGAAGACAAAGTACGCTTTAAAGAGTATCTTGAAAACTATAGCTAATTTCTAGCACAAATAAATCAATATTCGTCGTGTTGTTGTTTTTGTTTGTCAGATATTTACTTCCGTAGTTATATGCCCGACCGAGTTAATCAAAGTACGAATGCAAACCGATTATGGAGACGTCAAAACCCGTTTGTCGGCTGGCGGTGTGATAAAAAATATATGGAATGCCGGCGGTTTCCGGGGTTTTTACCGGGGATTGACATTCACGGTGGCCAGGGAAATGATAGGGTGCTCGCTTTTTTTCGGAGCGTACGAATGGACTCGCGAGATATTAAAACCCAAGGATGAGCCAAAGGAACAGTGTGATGCTTTGTCCACAATGGCAGCGGGTGCTATTGCGGGAATCGTCAACTGGGTGGCCGTTTACCCATTGGACGTGATCAAATCGCAGATACAGAGCACAAAAGACGACAGTGTGCGGAAATTGATCAAACAGCAGATAGCCGGTAAAGGTGGCGTTCGGGCTCTGTACAGTGGACTGTGGCCCACGCTGATGAAGACCATACCGGCAACGGCAGTTTTGTTGTTTGGTGTGGAGTTTTCCAAACCGTTTTTAATTAAGTGTATGAATATATTAAAAGAACAGCTATCGTCCACTCCGGTTTCCGACAAAGAGGTTTTTTCGTACTGTGACTTTTTATCTGGATGGACGGCTGGTAAACAACAATCATCATTACATACGGTACCAGTGTTACTAGCGTTCAGTAACCACGAATTCGGTTTTACGTATAGGCATGGTTTCTACTTGTATAGGACACCCTTTGGATACGGTTCGGGTCGTGCAACAAGTTAAGAACGTCAACCCGTTCGTAGCTACCGGGGAGATTTACAAACAGCATAGAGTATGTCTTCCGCAACTAAATTTTGTTTTTTTTTGATACTGTGGAGTAATTTTGTTGTTCCCAGTTTTCAGGCTTCTACAGGGGAATGATGTTTCCCGTGTTAAGTAGCGGCGTGGTTAATTCGGTGGTATTCGGCGTTAATGGAAACACCATGAGATACATACAAACGCATTTCAGAGACAACGTGTCGGAAAATGACCGCTTGGTCCGTGTTTGTTGTAACTCTGAAAGTTTGCACAAATACTGGCATCTGGACTATTTCGTTTCAGGTTGCGTTGCAGGATTTTTCAGCACCCTAATCAACATACCGGTGGAACTTGTAAAAACCATGCTTCAAGCATCGAGTACGACTCAATTTAATAATAATGTTTATTAAGTTTTTGATACACGCCAGCATGACGCCAATAACTCTCAATCGATCAGTATAATCTCTCATTTTGTTTCAGTTTTGACACAACATAGTTTAATATTTTGTAAATGTTTAATTCTTGAAATCAGGCGTCGTAGGTATTATTATGCAATACTACGGAACCCAGTCTTAGAATAGGTCTCCACTAAAAAGACCGAAGAAACAATATTACAATAGACACGGTATAGCTAAAAGTTCACAATATTTTCTGTTTTAGATATATCTACACGCCCGACGGTGAGTTCGGAAATTGGTCCGATACAACTAACTCGAATACTGTACAGACAAAACGGTATACGTTCATTATACAGCGGAGGGATCGTACTACTGCTCAGGTGTGAAGTGGTCGAAGGCAATGTTTTATCGCGTGAAGTTTCGGACTAATGAAATTGTATTTTATAGAGACGTACCCGCTACAGGGATTTATATGTTGTCTTACGAACACATTTGCTGTTTGTTAAGGTATCAAACCGAAGAGCAACGGAAACCTGACGACTCGTTCTCGTGGTCTATACAAGTATTTGCCGGTGGCATGGCTGGTAAAATTATTAGATTACATGAATTCATTAATTGATATACGATATTTAAGATGCGGTTGTTTGCTTAGGCGTAACCAGTTGGGCGATGATATTGCCACTGGATGTTATCAAAACGAAAATGATGACCGATAGTGGGAATAGTCTTTACAACGGTATTTGGGATTGTATTAGAACCACATACAAAAGCGGCGGAATAATGCAATTTTATCAAGGGTTTTGGGTAACGTGTTTGAGAGCTTTTCCTGTCAACAGTGTCGCATTTTTAGTCTACGAGTTTTTATTGAAGACTTGTTCGGATCCCGTAAATGAGTCAACCGATATTAAAACAAAACAATCAAAATGGCTCGAATAAAGAACACAACCATCTTCAAATCAAGTGAGAAGAGCAAATCAGTAGATTTGACACGTGGGCATCATGGACAGCAATTTAGTATTTACTCTAGACAATCAACGCTAATCCTAAAAATACAATATTTTTTCTTTAAAAGCATAAATGTCATATTTTTAATGTCAGAATAATCATTAAATATTAAACAAATTTTAAAAAAAATGGTTTATTTTGTTTATCTATACAAAGAGTACCTAATATTTAAAAATTAATAGTGGTGGATAAAAAAATAAAAAGTAATTTTGTATTTTTAAAGCAGCGTTTAAATAGGCAAAATTTTTAATATAAGGGCTAAAACAGTTTGACCAACCAAAATCTGTTTTTGCTCACTTCAATTGAAACCTTCACATTATTGCGAAAACCTGAAACTCAATGACCAACACGTATAGGACAGGATAACTAGAGTTGGACAGTATTCGAATAAAATATAATTTAGTTAAAAGATAGAATAAAATAACCATTAATAATAATTTAATAGAATTCAAATACAATTTATTAAACAGTTATTTATGATTTATTCAAACGAAACTATTATTCGAAAAACGTTACACACCCATCATTTGGAAAATAAAAACCAGTTATCGCAAATTTAATACTCAAGCATTGCGGTTAGTATATTGGGGTAGGGGAGACCACAGATGCTCAGGAACTATTACAACTGAGTGTGATAGAGTGTGATAGAGACCCTTTCGAATAACGCTTTGATGCGAATATGTAGAAATACAAATAACGATAAAATCATTCTAATGACAATTGAATATTGTATTTTTAGGATTAGCGTTGATTGTCTAGAGAAAATACTAAATTGTTGTCGATGATGCCCACGTGTCAAATCTACTGATTTGCTCTACTTTGCTAGTTACCATAAAACCGTGTGTTCAATATAAATTATTTTGTATTATAACAAAGCCTAATAAATGGCGATTCTGCAATATACAAAGATCATAAATAAATGACACATGCCGTGGGAAAGGCCGTTATTATTCTGTTCGCAGAAACATCTAGAAGGCTAACCGGCGAAATTCGAGGTCCGGCTCCAAGCGAGTGGCTTTATTACCAACACGCGCATTTTTCATCTGATGAACACTTGCACTTACCGCTACCCATATCCACTCTGTCTACCCGGATCTCCAAAAGTCCTTAAGGTCATACAAATACTTAATAAATACACAACCAAAATGCAACCTATCTTCACTATATTGTGATAACACCTCAATGGACAGCCTAATTTCAAATAATCTTCAAATAATATACAATAATTTGTACCGTATCTCAAGGCGCTATTCCACTGCCACCGTGTTCGCGTACGACGTTTTCTTCGTGGCTTTGGTATAATATGTTTAATATTTGTATTGCTTATCCTTTTTTTTAAATATTACCAGACTGATTATAAAAATTTTAAAAGTATACACAAATCCATTGTTCCGTAAATTTGAGTACTATATATAACATTTTTACATGTGCGAACAATATAATATGTGGACTTAAATTAATATGGGTAATCGCTGTAACCACACGTCGACCGAGTTGGATTATTTCAACTTTACGGTAGCCTGTGGTATCAAGTGGTCGATAACATGAATTGACCAATCAGGAAGCAACGTTTCACATGGTCAATACGAAATACGCGAACACGGTAGCAGTGGAATAGCGCTTTAACTCAGTAATCGAAAAGCGCCACCTATCTTGATACGGTGGAAACGTGAAGAAGGCCGGTCTATGAGTAAAAGGTCTATGGTTCAAATGTATGATAGAGGCAATAGATAACGTTATACCCGAATGATTGATAATATGGTTGTAATGTTATTGAATGGTAATTTGAAATCATTTTTTTGCTCCCCAGTCTCCTGTAAAATTGAAATAAATGAGATTTACCCTTGAAATAATTTTACTCATATATGCAGTACCTACATAGATCAGCAAGTACTTTGTTTTGTAGATTTATGGAATGGAAACCTCTGGAAAAAATCACAGCCTGTTAATATCTTAACACGTTGGCTACCAAGCCATTTTTCATAATACTGTTTGGTGTATCATGAGGGTACTCGAGTTCTCTTAGTATATTTTGTGTTTGATGCAACACTAACGTTATCTACTTTTATAAATTGTACCAAATACCGTTAAGTGTCTTAAATACACGTTATTCACCCATTACAGTAAATCATATTTAATGTTGACTGTGGTTTAATTTTATAGTTTAAAATGTATTATTTTTCCTCAAATAAATAAAACAACTTAGGTGTTATTTTTTGACGATGTTATGGTTGATTTTTCAAGCGTCCTCTGTAAAATCAAGGTTATTGTCATTCTAGGTACATCTATTCGGGGTCTAAGAAATATATTGCCCTTTTTTCATGTAATTACTCTAAAATATTGGTTACCCTGTTATTATAATTATTATATTTTTTTTTGTCATCTGTGATTGTGTACAAGTCATATGAACTGAGTACTAGGCGAGGGATATATTATTTCCTTATGTATAGGTTAATTATCTGGTTCAGAAAAGTAACACAATAATATGTTTGTTAACGGTGTAGCGGATTTATAGGTAAATTCTGATGCTGTTTAAAAACTTAAATAATTGTTAAACACTTTTGTAAAGCAAATACTAAAAATTAAAATCACTTTCAAATAAACGCATAGGTGCGAACCTGTATATGTATGGTGGAAAATGGAAATAGTAAGTAAAAGATAGGTACGGTTAAAAATAATCGACTGGGTAATTTTTTTAAACATTATTATTTCAGTTACGTCTTTAATATTTGAGATGGTAAAAATTGGACAAAAAATAATATGCTGGGGCTTGCAGCCCAAAATAATAGCATAATATAATTGTATGAATGTAACAAAACATTAATTTTATCAATTTGGAGTTGACATAGTGTTTGTGTTGATACATTAATATTATTATATAGATTTACCTATTTGTTCAGTTATTAACGGGATTTTAAGAACAAAAACAATGTCTATTTTCATGACTGTAGTCTTGGCTTAAATGCTATAACTAAAACAATGAAGTCTCGTGTTATAGTACAGTTACTCTCTAAAGGTGGACTTTAGCAATCACTCATTATTGTCAGTAAAAATACGAACAGCAACATATTATTTTTGTAAATATTATGGCTATATTTAACATCTATTCATGCTATAGAACATACACATTACACATCATGGTAGTTACAAAAATTATTTGCATAAACCAATATCGCTTTAGCATTCGCTAGTAAAATTATTATTGTCCACAACGATTATCAAATCTTCAGACTTTGGGACTATATCTATACAATGAAAACTAGTTTTTCTCCAGTGGCTAAATCTAAGGAAAAATCGCGAAATAAAATGTTATGGTCTTAAGAACACTTTCAAATAATAATATTCGGCGTAATAAAATTAAACACACAAAATTAATACACAATAATAATAATATAATTATTACACAAAATTAAAACAAATCCAAAATAAATAATAAATACCCAAAAATATATTAATATGATATAAAACATATATTCGCTAACTAATTTTCAGCTTTTAAATATTAAAAAGACTAAAGAATGCAAGCAGCGTGGAAAAATCCACTCTTATAATACATTATACATTTTATTGCACACTAATTTTAATTATAAAACTAAATATATACTATTAACATTTTTAAAAGAAACAAAAGTAAGTTTTAGCTTCGATACGGAACTGAGAAAGAATTTAAATATTTAATTGGTATTTACTATGATTAAATTTCATATTTAGCTATGTAAACTATCCATTTATTTTTTTAACAAATCGAAAGATTTCAAAATATATTAATACAGTATTTAAAAGAAACAAACGTAAAATTTAGGACATTCGTCAAATGGAACAAACATGATTGAAGACAATATTAAAAAAAACATCAGCTTATAAATACCTATGTATTTCTCTTTTTACTCCACATGTCATTTACAATTCTGCTAATATCCATCGAGTTGTAATCTGGCTGCAAAGTTATTTGCATCTCCATGAACATAGCAGGGCACATCGGACGAGACCCTAAAATTAATAAAATTTGGGTTTTTAGTTAAGAAAACATTTTTTTTTTTTGGTGTTATTTAGAAAAAATTACGGTCAGGATGAAACTCCTCCAAAAAGGCTTCAATCTTGCCGTAAAAAGATTCTGTGGTATAAGTTTTTGCGAATTTTAAAAGCTCCTCCTGAATGTTGAGCAAACCATCATGGTTTTTGTCATACAGTTTAGCGAATTCCCACATAAACTGCCCAACGTTAGTTGTAAAAGGTGCCTGCAGAATCATCAATGCACAGTTATATTGGTCGTACCTTACTATGGAGCATATGCAAGCCTAATCAATTCAAAATTAACAACATTACTTCACTGTCGAAATCCTCATCATATTCCGAATAAAATACCAAAAGCTCTTGTAGCTCATGAGCGGCGGGTCCTAGAAAAAAAATTATTAGATATATTATGTTTTTTTTTTTACAATCTATTATTATATTTAAAAAAATATGTAATTGTTTAGACTCATAATTATCGTGCTATTATTGTACTGTGTAGCACTGTGTTTTTGTTATCGGGCAACGGTTAGTGCCGTGTCTTAACTTTTTTTTTGTTGTCTTGTTGTTATCGTCTACTGTGTGTGTAACCACGTTTTTTTTTGTATAAAATAAATGTAGTTTCTAATAACTAAAATTTCTATTGTTGTTATATTGAAATATGAATAATTATAAATATTATGTTAAAATAAAATAAAATAAGTAATATACAGTCCACTCTTTATTATCATCCAATAAAAACTCAAACAGTAATATTATTAATTTTATGCTTACGGACGTGATCGAAATCCAATAAATAATCATACTCTTCGGAAACAAGATTTAACGATTTAAATAAGGCTTTTTGTTTAACACTATCAAGGTGATCTTTAGAACTGTCATACAAAGCGCGGCATTTGTCTATCTGCTTCTTGTTCAGGTGTTGACGAAACTAAATATTTATATTTGAAAATGTATATATAAATTATTGCGTTTATTGTGGTAAATAATTATGAAACATGAGAAGAAAAATGTGACTTTTTAAAATATATTTCTTAAATATTGTTTGTCATAATAATATATTGTATGTAACTTTTACAGTCTATAAACTTGATTAGCATATTACGTTTTCTTTTTTATGTTTCATTATTGCCGTCAAGTACTGTAGTACATTTATTGCGTTTTCATCTAAAAATAAATTAAAACTATTAAGTTCATTAAATTAACGGACATTTAAACACTATGTTACCTTTAAATTCTGTCTTTATAGTATTATTATAGTTCTTAATTATTTTAGGCTGGTCATTAAGTATGTCATATATTTCAGCTCCGGTAAGATGCCCGTTTTTTTTACCTCTTTCATTTTGTACTTTGAACCATCCCACAAAAAGTCTTACTTCATATGTTGTTAAACATACTTGCTGATATGCAAATACAAGAGAACAAAGTTGTAACATAAATTAACTATTTTTTTTAATCAAATAACGTATATTCATGTATATTAAATTATTAAGAAAGCATAATAAATAATTATGTATGGGATCTGTTGGAATAAAATCCTTATTCAGAAGCGTATCAAATAATAAAAGGGTTGAATAAGTATAACAAATAAAATATTTAATATCAATATGTGTGCACGTATAAGTAAAAACGACGACATACTCGGTGTACACGAAATACAAAATATGCTTACTAAGAATTTTATCGACCTACTAACTACATAATGTGATATTGTGTTTGGTTTATAATTCCAACAGGATCCTATAGGATATGTTTAGTTTTTCAATATATTTATTGGAATCTTTGACGGATACTTATGAGTCATAAATTAAAAGTTAATCAAGGAAATCATACAATTTCAAATGGCATCGTTGTCCCCGAAAGGATTATTGTAAGTAAATAATTTAAACATAGATTAACTATTTCGGTATTACCATCAAGCTGTCAGGTATCTTAATATGATCGGCCAGCATTATCAAAAAGTCCGGCATGGTTTCATTGTTAAGCACAAATCCTACACAAATATATTGGTAATTGAAACAAGTTAATAATACATTTACAAAAATACAAATTAAAAGTTTTTAACAAATCTAAAGTTGTGCGTCGTGCAGCAAAATAATTTTCGGCAAAAGTATGAATTAGAACATTCTTATTAGTTTAACTTAGTAAAGTATAAAATTACAAAAAAAACAATGCGGTGCACTTTAGTGTCTATAGATTTCGGGTATCATAGTTTGTTATGTACACATAACGTGTTACTAGCTCGATGCTAAAACAATGTAATAAAAACATTGTATTATCTCTTGTACAATTCGGTCTGTAGCATATAAGAAGTCCCTACTGCTCACTTTTGATTTATTATTATGTTTTTTTTTATAAATCTTTCCATACTCTAAATATCTGAGGTGTGACAATGATTGTATAGTAATATGGTATAGTATGGTATACAGTAATATAATTATGTATAAAGAATAATATTTAAACATTACCTTCTTTAAATTGTTCGACACCGCCTGTATAGCCCACGTTCTTTAAGTAACTATTAATCACATCGTTAGGAAGTATACCCGTTATAGGATCTTTGTGCTGAATAAACAGAGCATTTAATTCTTCGATTTCTCTCTGGTCGAATCCAATGCTCTGTAAAGTACAATAAACGTAATTTAATGTCAAAAAATACTTTTAAGTGACTATATTGAACTTATTATACTGTAAATGATAAAGTTTTAATTGTTGTTATTCTGTTATTTTCTTATTTAAACGCAAACAATTACGAAATTAAGACAAATTTTAAATTTACTGTAGTCGTTTGGATATTCTGAATTTTGTTAGACGACCTCATGAATCGTCGTATAAGATGTTTACATTTATAAGCTAAATTTCAAAAAAAATAAAGAGAATCTAAATAAACTGATGTCGTTTTGGAAAAAAAATATCACTAAATATTGTTATATGATGACCACGTCATCAATATAGGTTACGTGTTTTTTTAAATAAATGCGGGCAGTGCTTCCAGCGACTTGAGACTGATGACATAAACGATTAAATTAACAATAACGCTGAATTGCAAATTGTAAAATTATATAAAAGACAATCAGATTTAATGATATTTTGTCAGTCCACTTAACCAGAGCTATATGTCATCAGTCAAGAGTACTCGGTTGTCGCTGTCCGTCTACAAGGTTTAAGTTCGAGAGTTCGTTCAGTAACACCTAGTAGTCTATCCTCTTTCCTTGTGCACTTGTCTTGCGATTCGTTCGCACAGTGCACATTCCTTTCTTAAAGTACCCGTGTCTTGCGATTCGTTCGCACCTCGTACTTTATCCTTCCTTCATCTCTCCAAGTATTCGTGTCTTGCGATTCATTCGCACCTTGTACCTATCCTTTCTCATTCTCTAATTCTTTTTAATCCAGTATAAACAACGGCTCTTCGACATCCGCGAAGAACCCGGACAGCAATCCGTTTCACTCTTGTGCCAGTGTTCACCAGTGTACATCAAGAGTCTAGAATGTCTATTTTCATTTCTTTTTGTCTTACGACAATATGTTCACAACGGGTGACTTCAAACAACTTTTATGGCAAACAAAAAATTGTTATATTGTGTAATGAATATGCGAAAGTAGTCTAGGTTTGGTGTAGAGAAAAAAGTGCCTAAAATAACTATGGTAGTACTTGAAGTTTATTTGGTACAGTGATTTATGACATTCAAGTATAATAGTTCTGAAAGACTTATGATCTCCCCTCTCCCTAATATGTTCTGACCTCACTATGTTAGCTATTCAAGTGATGACGTATATACATATGTATATTAATTTAACTTTAAAACGGTGTATGATTGTTTTGAAAAATAGTGAAATAAATAAATCTTTTTTCCTAAAAGTGGCGGAACCTTTTTTTTTCTATAGTTTGTGTAATTAAAATTTGACTTAAACTAGATCTAACTACAGTATACTGTATAGTGTAAATCTATTAAATGTAAAATTGATTTTATACATTTTGTTCTGACAGAAAAATAATTTGCTGGGACAAAAAATACTGTCGAAACTTGGAAACAACAATCTAATGTTATAACAACTATTGGTAGTATAGTGACTTACAACGAATAAAAAATGAATTGTGTTTTAGTGAAATATTTTGGTATCCAAAACATTTGTACAAATAAGGACAATTACAATAGCCGAATACGCAAAAAAAAAGGTGTTTTCGACGAAAACGAATAGATTTGTAATTCAAACCTGCGAGTCGATAAAATATCTGCTTATACTATATACTGCAAATTGAGATAAATGTACAAAAATACCGGCTATAATATACGGGTTTGATAATGAAAACCAAAATTAATAAAACAATTATCAGCCGTACGTTGTAAAAACCAAATTTTAAAAATAAAATATGTTATTTAACGATAATTAAGTAGGTAGAGGCTTCATTTTTTTTATTAGCCCCACAATTAAAAAATATAATGTTACTTTTAAATCAATATTACCTATTAAATAATAATGGTCTAAAATATGTTTGAGAACTTATATTTGATAATTATTAACAAATTTTAAAATATATACCCACCCAACGCATACTGTGCATGCGCTTTTTTACAATATTCAAAGGTATATTATATCAAGTGTTTTTTTTATACTGCTGACTACAAATAAAATATAAAAACGGGGTACCACTAGGCAGGTTCATACTGAGCTTGGTTTAAATTGAGCTGTTTTTTTTGTATTAATTTAATTGTATAAAATTATAATATTTATAATATTATGTCTACTACTATGAGTGTTAAATTAACCTATACATTTAATTTTTCAAATATCTATGTCACATAATATAATTTGTATGTTAAATACTGAAAGGACGGATATTATTTTTTACAGACAATCTTTTTTAAGGATGTGAGTTAACATTTAATTATAATCAAAAAGTTTAAAACACGTTTACATAATATATTAAATTTAAAAAAATAACAATCTTTTGGACTTGACTCTCATTGAGTCCGATACACTATGAAGTATTATAAGTACTGAGTACAATAATATAATAATATATACAATAAATAAATTCGTGTGGCATTATTGACCGGGATTTTAGCTAACTTGGTCCACACCGGTCGGCCTAGTGGTGTGGTTTGCCGCTAAAAACCCGGGTGGTCACCCATCCGGGATCAAGCGGTACCAGTCACAGCTTAACGTCAGGCGCCTTGCGGCAGCTGCAGTGTCCACTGCGCCACACCGTACCAGTAATATATACAATTATCTACTGAGACTTTATTATTTTTTTCATTGCAATTATAATTATTGTAATTATAACTAATATTATGTTTTATACTAACCTGTGTCTTGGCTACGAAGTACAACGCGCAAAGGAGAACAGCACTTTTGAAATGCATAATAGTTTTTTTTTCAAATACTTGGTTGAACCAAAAGTAAGTCTTCAATACCGAAATCGAATAAACAGTGAAATTTGATTCGGCTGGGTGTGACTTTTACACGGTGCGATTAATAAAAACAACATAAGTTTAGAAACGAAAAATATGCTAGAAAGTTGTTTTTTATTTTATTTTATTTACAAGATATTTAATTAACGAGTTTTTTTTTTACCCTATTGTACAGTTGTAAACACAACGTAAACCGAAACAATACTGCATATTTACTCATGTTAAATAAAACCACAAAATATTTTTATTTAAATTACAAAACAACAATATTATAGGGATCGATGAATTTATATACTTGAAAAGTTGTTGTTTGACCCAATTGTACAGTTGTGAACCAGAAAAATACTGAATATTTACTTATGTGAAATAAAATAAATAAATCTTCAGAAAATAATGTTATCCGTTTATATAAATAAACATTTTTCATATACTCTACTATGCAATTACACCATTTATTCAAGGGATGAGACAATCCTTTTTAAAATGTGAATAGCTAACAAACGTATCACACAACTAACAATTTTCCTGTTCGATTGTCTGGTCGCCTCCTAAAAATATCCGATATTTTGTCTACTGGCCGTTTGTTCTAAGTTATTAAATTATTAAATAATTATACTTTAAGAAATTAAACATATTGCTAACGACAAACTAAAAATACCATAATTCCTTTCCCTTAGATTAAAACTGACCTAGTTATACAGGATTATTTTTTTATTTTGCTGCTTATAATTTTTTTTTTATTTAAACTTTAATTTAATTTTTGGTTTTTATTATTAAAACCATGCATAATGTTAATACGTTACGATTAATATTCTTACAGCCGGGTAGTCAGGTATTTAGTACTTTTCGGTTTTTGTGTTTCATTTGCTGTGGTAATTAGTGAAGTAAGAATTAACACACAACATTATAATACATAAAAAAATTAAAATAAGCGAGCGAGTCGAAAGCCAAGCAGAACGTGAGCCGACGGTGGCCAACGTTACTATTTTTAAGGTCATCTCTAACTTTTTAATAAAAATAATGAGCCATTTTAATAAAGTCATGAGTCACATGTATTTTGTTCTATCAAATCGCATATAATATTTTATAAAAACGCTAGTACTTTGCAGAGTATTTCTAAAACAAATTATGATATTTGATTTACATAATATTTATTACAGTATTTGTTAAGTTTTTAATTTTGATAAGTATAAATTTAAATACTTTATTGACATTAAAAATAATGCGTAGCATATATATATATTTTTTAATTAACACGCTATTTTTTAGAAAGTTCAACCAATAATAGTAGATTTTAGTAAAGAATACATTTTGATTGTGAAAATTGCTTATGATCCATATAAATTAAGTAGAACTAATGATAAGTAAAAGACATTTAACGTCAAAAAAAATAAATATTATTAATAACATAGTTTGTAAAATATAGATTAAACGTTAGTAAACTTTTTGTTAATTAGTAATCAAAAGTTTATTGTAAATATCTAATAAATATAAATAGTCAATTTGACTTGTGGTTGGTTTATTGCTTTTCAAAAGTTTCAAAATATCACCCCTTTTCCATCATAACTGAGAAAAACCCTATGAAATGATGCATTTGTCATGTTAAAATTACGGCTCGCAAATTTTTTTTAAAAATAGTCCAATTGTTTCCAAACTTGTATGGGATATCCTTATTAGGTATAATACTATTAACAGTGAACCCTCAAGAACATATTAACCATTATCAACCATTTTCTTCAAAAGAAGTAGAAACGTCAAAGACAATTTCGCTTTTTTATTTAGCTATAGTTCTATATGTATACATACAAGTGTCTCACAATCTATTACATTTATAAATGTATCGACTTAAATTGAAATTGGTAAAAAAAAAAACTGTCACACTACCTAATAGCAAATCGAGTTCTAAACGAGTTCTTAATACATTTTATCACTTTCAGTAATGTATAAGGTTTTTTTTTATACTTATGATAATAGTTGGAACAAACTAGATGAATAAATACAATTTTACTTATTTGGTAATTTTTTATTTTATCGGTAGACCATGACATAACACAGTACTAGACATATAATATTATGTAATTGATAACAAAAAAGTGTTATGAGAAATATATTAAAGGAAAAATCCACCGACGGTTCTTCTCCCGTTATGTTATGTAACAAACGATATTTTAATTGTTAACTTCCTACCTAGATTGTTTTATGTAAGCTAATTGTAGTTGGTTGGACCGAAAAATAATTTAAAAAAGGCCCTGTTTTTTTTATTTTTTAGATTATTTTCATTATAGTCCAAAGGTAACTTTTTTTAGTGGTATAAAAGTGCAAACCCTAAACGTTATTTTTGGATATTTTATTATGTTTAAGGTGTTTAATGTAGACAAATACATATGTGCTGTGTACTACAGGCAAAAATTAGTAAATTTTAAATACATTTCTTATACGTATTTTTAATACATAGAATGATATAAAATTATTATATATATAATAATAAATAGAATATATAAACTATTATGAAAACAAAAATTGTTTTTTGTAGTGTATTTTTTTTCATCTATTGCTACAGTGGTCTCAAGGAACCTTGAAATGTCTTTGTCCGGTCGTGAATAATTTTACTATTTTATTTTTATTTTCATTTAAAACCTTTAAAAAATATTACATGGTTTTATCATCGTTAATACTTTTCTAAATAATTTTATATTTTTTTACACGTAAACGTATTGAAAACGCTTTTTAAGTTGTGTTATTTTTTGAAATAAGATGTAAACATTTAATGTGATGTTTTGTAAGCTTGTTCAAACAGTTACCTGTTAGTTATACACCGATACACTAAATAAGATATGTATTCAAAAACAAAAACAACATCGACCTAGTTATATTGTTTGAAGTCTCCAAAGTTAAAACGATTTTTATTAGTATTATATTTTAGGGCCATTACTTTTTTACTTGAGCAATTGTAAATGTAGGAAAATTGTCAGTATTCCAACTTTAGTATTATAGTTGTATAGAAAATTATATGTTAAGACTTATAGAAAAAATTCAATCTCTTATGAAATATTTATAAATTAATATAAATGTTTCGATAATAAGAAATACGAGTACACTATTTGTATGTGATATACAAATAGTATGATATAACATACAACAAAAAAGAACCCTAATTTTGTGTTATAAAACCAATTCTTTTTTAGACTAGTATGTAATTTATATCATCTTATATCAATATTAACATTTTTCATATGGAATTTTGGTGAATTTTATTTTTTAAACTTGCAATTAGTACATCCGATAACAGAGATTCTATATGAACATCTATACACCAGGATGCTGGTCAAGATAATGAACATCTTTGATTATCTAGGTACTACCAAGTACCTCAATATTTTCCTATGTTCTTCCCAGCTCCAGTTTTTCGGTATTGCTTGAACGGTTTATGTTAGACATCAGAAAGAGAGATCCGGTGATAGTGCGCATGCAAGGTGCGGTTCTATATTTCCGTCGGATGTTCTCACACACTGCGTTCAATAGCGTTGTCAGAAACATTTTAAATTACTTTAAGAACTATATCGAGGTCACCTATTCCTCCAAATAAAACATAATAAACGTTCAAGGAAAAGGTAGTGACCAAACTGCATTAATCGATTATGACGAATTAGAATACCAAATTACAAATACCAATGTTTATATGACAACAATTGAACACGAAATAAACACATATTTTCAGATGTCGCGCTTAAAAGATGAGAAACAATCCACTCTCGAAACTGACACCTTCGTACAGACAAATTTTCCAAGTCTTGGGTTTATATACAATATAAATCCTGGCATACCTATAACCTTAACTGAATGCAATACACTTTAAAACAATTATAATATATTATGTAATATCTGTGTTTACAATCATCTAAATTAATGTAATTGGAACATTAATAAAGTTCAAATAAACCTGTGTATATTATATGTCACGTTTTAATAAAGTTATATTTTCGATGAATTATTTGCCTTTGAAGTCTAAATAAGTTCCAAAAAATAGATATATCTTGTAGAATAATACTTAATAATTTTTAAGTTCAAAATATTATTTTAAGGGTAGTTTTAGCATCTAGATACGATTAGGGCTGATCGTCTGTCTATAGTAATTTATCGACATAGATACCCCCCATACATAGTAATTAACAATTTAATAAAAACATTTTCGGATGCCTGTTGATTCCCTCACACACAGTACCGTTCTAGCAAATTCTAACTGATTACAATCAAATTGTAATTTTTCTCTTTTTTCTTCGTTTTTCCTTAATAAAACAAAATGTTAACAACAGATAATTGAGCAAATTGTATATTATGTTACAGTCCCACTTTTTACAATTCCAATATGATATTACATAACTCCATATTATGTAGTATCACATAATATGGAGTTCAATGTTAACGAATACATTGTAGTTATGTCCACACCATTAGATATAAAAATTAGGAGGTAGTTATATATTTTCAATTAAAGACACTTTAATATAAAAAAGTGTAAAAGTAACGTGCATATTAACCAAAGTAAATTGTGTTGAGTGCTTATAGTATTTTTCTGAATAATGAATATTCATTATCTAAAAGGACGGCTAATTACAAGGTATAGCATATATATATATAATAACATTATATGTAATACAAATTAGGTTACAACATTCTTATCCTAAACCTACGTATTTTACAGCTTTTAATTTCATTTTTTCAAAATAATATTACTGATAACACACAAATATTGCAGCTTTATGACACAAAAACCAATTTATTTAAATGAACTTATAATATTTTACACTATTACAGTAGTCAATATTGTACAAGGTTAATAAAATATTTGATTTTATATTTTTTGCAACAATATTGATAGTGACACAAGTGATGGTTCGTGATTTTTATTCTACTTGGATTTTGTGTGTTATTCATGGTATTATTGTGCATAAAATACAAGAATTGTTTAATTTATTATGACACATTATTTCGCGCTTTAATAAAAACAAAGTTGTTCAAATATAAATTCAAAAAAACAATAGTTTGATTTCACGAGACACGAGTCTGAGTATACATTTTAGTTTTAGCAGAACGAGAAAGGTTGGTTGTCGATTGTACCGCACAAGAAAGTAACAATAAACGATGATTTCAATAATATGTATTGTCCAGGTAATATCCTTTGTTTTATTATCATCCGCGAACGGTTCGGGAAACAATGAGTTTATAATTAGAGCTTTCGAAGATTCGCCAAACTTAAAGTCGTTGAAAAACGTGGAGGTTTTGATAGACGATCGAGTAACTTCGCTGAGTGACATACTTGGCCCAGACCCGGAAAAATGGATCGTTGAGAAAGAAAAGTGTAAAATTACTGCCACAGTAACTCTATCCGCATTGGGCTGCAATTACGCTAAGACCATCGCACAACTTTTCCAAGCGTTTGAATTGTTGACCGCACAGTGCTATAAGCTGATTGACCATGATAAGGTTTACCCATGTCAATGCGATGTGAAACGTTATTTGAATACGTATCATGCAACGGTTTTGAATATAATAAGTACGACATTGTACTACTCGGAACATTGGAACGTTACTTTCGATAGGAATCTGTTGAAAACATTTTTGGCATTACAGTTGTTTTTCATTAACGATAAGTTCTGCCAGCCACCCAGCGAAACTTGTTTGATTTATAAAATACAATTTCTTCAGCAGCATTTAAAAAAAAATCGCATAGTTCAATACATCAGGTACACTTTAGACAATTTCGCGGCAGAAGTTTGCGTTCCGCCGTCATTCCAGGATTCAAATATTTTAACGAAAATTCAAAGAAAATGTCCTTTGCAAGATACAGTCTTAATGGAATTCATACAATGTTTCAAAAATGAATTAAATAAAGAGCTGACGGAAGGGCTTCTATCCAATTTTGGATCTATTCAACAGGACTATAACCGTGAATTGTTTAATCCGAAAAACTTCATGCTAAACGATTTATTGAATTTTGAACTTATACCAGGTAATAAAAACACTCAGATAAGAAACATAAAATCTTATTTTGGAACGGTTGATGAGTTGTATAACCAAGTCATTGATGACATCAACTCAGAAAACATTTTAAAATATCAATCTTTTATGATCGAATGCGTAAGTTCGGTTTTGTTTCATTTGATTTCGAATTTTATAGAAACTCAAAAAAATCAGAACGAATTAAGTACTGCTGAAGCTATTAGTGTTATAAACAACTTGTTACAAACAATACATAGTTTAAACCCCGACGGTGTTGTAAACGTAGCATTAAGAGAAATTGAATTCAAAAGAACACTGGAAATAAATGAATATGATTTGTTATTAGATTCAATTAATAACTTTTTTTCAGAGACGAAATTTGATCGAATAGACATAGAGATTTTTTTCCCTGCTGAAAATACATCTTTTGACAGCACTAAGTGTTATCAATTGCTATTCAAACTTTTAACACAAAATATCTATCAGATTCGCCCATTTTTATTTTCTAGAACACATGCCATCGATGAATCGTCTTATTTATATTTAGAAAGTCAAATGAATTTCTCGGAGACCAATATTTTAACCTATTTTCAAGAAACAAAAACTGTAATAAAACAAATACAATGTAAATTTTCATTCCACACAATCAAGCACTTTGTATTGAGCGATGCAATAGTGTCTCAATGCAAAGCTTTGGCGGTTGAAAAGTTAAACTCTAACAACGGTGAAATGTCTTCGGAAATCATCAACTGTTTTTCTAAAGTCGAAGAATTAACAAAATCGATTAGTAAACCATTTGAACAATTTTTCGACGGACTTATTAAAAGTGGTGAAATTTTAAACACAAAAATGGCTGCCAGATTTTACGATGTCATGCTCACTTTTATACTATACTTAAACAATAACGAATTGTATGACGTAACCGAAAATAACGATAACATGCTGAAATATATTATTTCCAAAGAAAATGCGTTTAACCGTTTCCATCGAGTCATATCTAATCGATTAGAACAGTTTACAAACGAACATTGTGATGCATTATCACCCCGAAAAATGTATATGAAAGAGTATCATCAAGAGCTTGAAACCCGTTTTCCAAAATTTAACCGCAATTCACTGTTAAATGTTGATTTTATAGGTAAACAAATGGAAAAAAATATTGATGATTTTACTATCGGTGTTTTTTCCAACGAGAACGATGAAGAATTAGAAAGTAATAAAGATAATAGCGAAGGGAGTATTGAAAATAGTAATGAAGAGAATGATGACGAATTGACTAGTAGTTCAGATGAACAGATATTTGATGACTATGGATGTATTTCTCACTACAATGAATACCTAAACTTCAGTTTTTTTACATTTGAAAACATCATTACAAATCATTCGTTGCCCGGACAATTATTTTCATTCATTAACGATGTTAAAGTAATGTGGGCTGATAAATACGTGACCATAAAAGAAGTGCATAATTTGATTAAACATAAAATGAACCCACATTACCTTATAACTTATCAAATGTTATTTGTCAAAGTAATTCATTATTCAATGTACGAAAGGCTTAAAGATATTGTTAAAAACATAATTAATAATGTATCAGATGATACAAATTATATCGCATCTATTAAAGGTTCATTAGAGTTTATCGATATGTTACTTCTACCATATCACGATAAGATAACCACTGATATTCTTGAAGTTATTGAGGACATGTTTGATAATGACGATAATAAAACTAAGAAGATCGAAGCACTCATTACAATAATCGAGAAAGAGCAATCCGAGTTAGGTGTTCAGTGGGAATCGTCTATTGATGTAAATTCAAGTTCGGTCCACGATTATGCAGAAATACAAACACCACCGTCTTTGGATACGAGAACAGGACCAAATAAAATAAATACCGAGTCGTTAAACAATATTGAAAACGATTTCATAAAAAGTATTAAAAATCTTAAAGCACTTTCTGATGGTATAAGAAAATTTGGTACACAATTCGAACTTGTTACTAGCATTTTGTTTTATGCACATGAGAGAAATACAACATATTAATAAATTATACAAAGTATAATATTATAAGTTATGTAATATAGTGTAATACACGAAAATGCGTAAATTATTAATTATTAACCACATATAAATACATTGTTTTTGTAGATGTTTATTAATTAATCAATAAATACTAAAATAGATAATTTTTAACGATAAAATTTAGTATTATTTACAAAAATCTTTAAGTATGTTTGTAATTTTCTTATTTGTAATTGTCTTGTTTAATTACTGAACTTTTATTGTACGTATAATAAATCAGTGTTTGACTGTTATTTAATGTATTTTTATTTTATAGCCTTTATTGATGAAACATGACTATTACAAAAAAATGTGTATGTATTATTATTGGAATTATTTCACAGTACATTAAAACACAGCTGATAATTTGTGCGACGGCAACTTCGCTCGTATACATTATTACATGCTTATCACTACTGTCAACTGTTTTTATTTAACTGCATATTAAATATGAATACATTTTTCGATTGATTAAATTATTATTGTACTTTTTCAACGCTTTAAAATACCAGGAAATATCGTTTTTTGTAAATCTTAATTTTAAAAGTCTCGTTCTACCGAGTTGAATTTTAATTATTTCGAGCATCTTTGAGTGGAACTTTCAGGCCATGTCAATTTTTTATTATTATTACTTTTTTTCATATAATATGTAATGAAAATTGCCGATACACTTAGTTCGTGTATAAAAACGGTTTTGTTGAGCAGCTTATATCATATCCCTATTCCCCTTTGTAACGTTAGCTTATTCGCTGTTTAATAATATCATATTACACATCCTATAATCCAATATGAAATAGTATCTCAGGTACGCCACATGTATACATATAATGTTTTTCTTATAAATTTACAATGTTCCATCTTAACTCTTTGAAGCAAATATCCTGATAAAGTTCCGTGCAAATTAATATTTTACTAGTAAAGTAAACAAAAAAAAAAAATTGTAAATTGTATTTTTTTACCAGAGTAAATTTTGAGTTTTGTCCGGAACTATATCTGGATCCTTGAAATGCAAAAATGTTAAAAAAATATCTGTAAAAGTTTTCACCGACAATATTTTACTTACATAGAAATCCTGTGTGTTCCTAAATTAATCAACTAATGTAGCAGATTGTTCAGCGGATTGATAAAAATTTAGAAACGCCTTTTTAGTTTTTTGTTAATGCGGTGAAACATGGTTAATACTTGTAACCATAATCAACCACAATACTTGATTTTATCTTTACAATTCTTAATATGAATCATTAAGTTCATAATTATCATTGATATTTATTTAATAATTATTATTAATATTTAAAGTAAAATAAGTTTTCAAATCCATCAATTAAAAAAAGTATTTTAACATACAACACAAATTAGGTAAGAGTTTCATTAACTACAAAAATAAAATTGAGGGTGACGCGGCAGCTAAATATTGTACTTTTCCAAAATATATAAATACCTTTATTTATTGTTTCCAGTATTTTTATAAATTTAGTCATCAAATGTAACCATACAACTAATCATTCAAAAGCAATGCATAATAAATTATTTTCTCAACTTGTATCAAATGTCTAAACTCGTTTATTCAAAAAATTTTAACTGAAATTCTCCAGGTGAATATTGTTAAACTGTAAACACATGTTTTTCAAACAAAACATTTCCTATAAAGAAATGTGTTAAATTGAATTAAATATGAACATGAAATACTGATCTAAGTTTAGAGTGTTAATAACAAAATAATTTTTAAAAACAGTTATACAATACATAATGTTATTATTATCGCACCTAAAAGTTATACAGGGTGATCATTTTATCATGAATCAATCAATATCTCATAGGGTTTAAAAAGAATTTTTTTTTAATGTTATGTTTATTTAAAATTTGTTTTGTTTTTACTTAGTTTTTTCATAGCAGCTTTTGAAACTTAAATGGGTAACGCATAAATTTCGTTTACTTTTTAAACTGAGAGTAATGTAGGTACTAAAAATGTTGATTGGTTGATAACTATAGATTTAAGCAACTATTTTTAAAGTTATAAGAGATATAAAGTTTTAAAAAAATGGTTACCGGCCCCTTCGACCTAACCCTATGAGATATTGGGTGGTTCACATTAAAATTATCACCTTGTATTATACTAATTAAAAAAGCTTTCACTTAATTAACTGTCAAATTCTAGAAATATTCAACTACTGTTTTTTTTAACTAATTTAATTCGACCGTGCAGTTATACCATTAACCAAGATCATTGCGAGGAGAAAATGACATTAGAAATCAACCATATCATGGCAAAACTTTGGTAATGAATGTTTTCATCGCTTCCAACTCCTGCAAAAAACCGAAATAATCATTGTAGAACTCTGACAAACCGCTGTCATGCCACGTTCTGGGCACATATTTTAAGCGTAGATAATTTTACCTCTTTATTTGTGCAGTGCGGTAGATTCTGATAAGTGATCAACTTGTGATTGGTAACAAAATTTTTCAATACATCCGACGAACTTTTTCCATGTTTTTCATAATCTACAACTAGATCATTAGTGCCGTGACATTGTAAAATAGGTATATCCATATTGTTCGTTGCTTCCTGAATAATAAAAAAAAAGAAAGTATAACAAGCCTAAAAGCTAAATAATTGATTAAAAAAATAGGAAACGTACTTCAGGGAATTTTTTACGAAGAGGTAACCAACAAGATAACACCAGGATTCCTGCTAAGGGTTTGTGGTAAGTGAGTGCCGCATATAAAGCCAAACTGCCGCCTTGTGAAAACCCTCCAAGTAAGACCTTATTAGATGGAATTCGAGTTTTAGATAACTCTTGGTCCAAAAGATCATGTACCAAGTTTGCGGCTCGACGAATGACCGATTCGTTTTCACCCGTCTGGTCTAAGCTAGCCATATCAAACCATGCTGATGTCGCAAATCCCTTCATCAGCGTGAAAGGGATTTTATTCCTTATAAAAAATTATACATTTTTTTAAGCATGTGAACGCAAACTTGAAATTTTGTTTAATTCAGTTTTATAAAAAGAATTCGGAAAATTTAAGTGACTGCCGACCAAAAGGATATAAGTGATTTTTATAAAGTTGTACAAGATGACGTAATAAAAAACGTATGTTTTTAATGTGCTGTGTGTAATATTATAATTATATCAATATTTTTCTTTAATTTATCTTTCAATAAATTATCTTATCAAAATTATTATTATTTAATTAAAAAAAGAATATATTATTCGAATAACCGTGTATTCAAATATTCGCTCAAATAAAACTGTTATTCAAATAATTACTATACATCATTTGAAAAATAAAAACCGTGGGGTCGGAGCATAGCGGTGAGTATTGGGGTAAAAAAATTTGACTACAGTTTTATTATATTGTACATAACATGTTCAAACTTTTTGCTTGTACTTACGCTGTAGGGCAGATAATTTTTGTATGTGGTTTACACAGTTTTTCTAAAGTACTTGCCCAATAGTTCCTATTTCATAAATAAAAACAAAAATATGTTATTTATTTCCAATGATATAGTTTTATAATAATTTAAGAAATTGTAAGAATAAAAGTAAAATTGAAGATTGAATACTTTGATTATAGTAGGTAATAAGGACTGTCTAGTAGTATAAAGGGGGACTGTAGTGTGGCCAGGAAGTAAAATTAATATAAACAGATTTGTGTTTCATATCTGACAAAATATACAGTATTTTTAATATTAAAATCCATACAATGATATAATACATATATATTTTTTTTACTTAGATAAAACTAGCATTGAATAAATTATTTCGTTATAAATTATAGTTTTCATTATGCCTGAGAAGTAAATGGTTAATGAAATTTTTAGAAACAAAGAGAATATAATATACTATGATATATGACAATAGTTTATTGAAAACGCTACTTAACAATAGTTTTTGAAATTCCATTTTTTTTTTTTTTTTTTTTAGAATTTGTACAATCTGTAATAAATGTAATTACAATAAGAACAAAGGATAATTTACATGGTAGGCAAATATATAATAATATATTGAGACCGTAGACTTGTTAGAAGAGGCCAGCCAGAGCTGGTACTTCATGACGTGTGAGATCGTGGATTAGTCAACCAATAGATCGCGACACCACGTTCGCTTTAGGCGCCTTCTGGGGTCACTAGGGATTGTGTGCACGAATAGTTCCGAGATCAGGGGGTTTTTATGGCTAAAGGTTTTGGAGTGTAGGCGTTTGTAGAAGGTTTTGGCAGAGTTAAGAACTGTTGGGATGGAGAGATCTTTGTGGAGGGTATCATTGGAGACGTAAAATGGGGCTTTTGTTAATATACGGAGACATTTATTTTGAAATGTTTGTATTTTATAGATATTGGATGGTTTGGCAGCTCCCCATAGCTGGATGCCATAGGTCCAAATGGGTTTGAGGCGTAGTTTGTAAATTAAAAGTTTGTTTTGGAGGTTGAGGTGTTTTGTTGTTAGAAGGAAGCGTAATTGACGGAGGCGGTTGTTTAAGACGAGACGCTTGGCGTGGATATGAGTTGCCCAAGTAAGACGCCGGTCTAGGTGTAAACCCAGGTATCGAACATTTTGAGCGGTTGGGAGGGGCAAATTCCATTTTAATCAGAAAATTACTGTTAACGACTATTAAGAAAATTTGAATTACCCTGTTTCTCCGAGGCCGTGGAAAAATACAACCTGAAAAAAAAACGATAAATTATAAATAATAGTTATATAAAATTGGAAATAGATACCTACAATTCAAATTTATTACGCAGTACACAATAGAGCAATATAATGTGCAATGTTTTGTATTTATCATATTTTAATAGTTGAATATGTTTTTACACAATACTTTTTACCTACCCAGATGTGTAAGCACTTAAATTACTTATTTTTTATCTTATTAATAGACAGTTACCAATGTTTTAAGAGGTAATGGATTTAGTATTCTCTATTAAATATATTATTTAATAATTAAACAATGATAAGGAAAATCAAAGACATTTGCAGGAATTCTTCAAGGGGGGGGGGGGGTTAAATATTTTACTATCCGATTAGTGCTAAATAATGGTTTGTGAAATGTTTTTTTTCATAGGTATTACCTATGTCTATGAAAATCTAGTACCGTAAAAATGATTTATGAATTAAGTATAGATAGTTAGTTAAAACTTAATCTTACAGATGTCAGCATTAATTTATATTAATTGATATGTAATTTTAAATTCACAAATGTATTTTTTTTTAAATATAAAAAATGTTACTAAATACTGATTTTATAGTTTTTGATCACTTATAAAATTAAATGTTTCTGGTTTCTATAAATAATAATAATAATAATAACAACCAAACCGTTTTGAGATTAACTTATTTCTTTGATTACTCAAAAAAACAAAACATAACTGTATTTATTATATATATAATTATAATGAACAACCATTTTCAAAACTTTTATTATCTACAAAATAACAAAAAAAGTACTGAGTGTGAATAGTTCCATTTTATGGGGTAGCAGTCTCTATCTCTTTAGTAATCATAATTTATAGTCAGTTCAAACTTCAAAATTATAATTTCGATTATAATTTAATTAAATATTAGTGATTTTGTTCAAAGGTTTGAATTTATGAAAAAAAAAAATTGTATTATTTCACTTTTTTAATCGTTGTATCTGTTATATATAAAAAAAAAATTGATTAGATTCTACTAAATTGATTTAAAATCAGTTACAATAACATTAAAATTGATGGACAGCATGTAATTTGATTACAAATTAAAATAGGGACTTTTGGGGGTTAAAAGTTGTGAAATATTTTACTGTTTCTTATCGATGTTGAAAATTGCAACCAAAAAAATTATATGTTTGTTAAGTCTCATTTTTACATGTTGTAACTTCAATAATGGCCGGTCTATAAAAAAAAATAGTCAGGTGGTATCTAATTCTAATCAATAATTTTTGGAGTTTGTCCATTAAAAAATGTAGCCTGAAAATTAACATTATTTTATACTCGCAAATTTGTTTTTTGTGTAAAAAGAGTTTTTATCCAACTTGTGAAGTATAAAATTTAAAGAAAAGTTTAAAAACGTAGTCTGACCTATTTGAAATTTTGTAGAAAACATTATATAATATTGATATTTTTTATCTCAAATAGATAAAGAAAAAACTAAATTAAATATTATATTATCAAGATCTATTGTTAATAACAGTTATCATCGAAATAACATCTGAATTTAGCTAACATTGAAAATGTTTTCTATACTATATTCAGTTTTGTTTCATGTTTGAATAACAAGGGTAGAAATCTCAATATTGTTATTGCTTTAAATCACTGTTCTCAAATAACCAAAATTAAGTCTAGTCGGATAATTAGTTATCATGTTATGAATAACGGACATAAAAAGAGATTTACAAATGTATTATTGATGATACCTACTTATGTTAATTTAGTATTATTACTTATTATTACTACAGATCATATTATATAATGTGTAAATCTTTTACCGTCGTTGAGTGTTTGGCAGCAGGTGGTATAGTTACTATCGTATCTGTCAACATTATGTCTATGTCAAAAAAAAAATATAATTATTATTTTCTCTAAAACAGACTGTTATGAAAACCGCTTGGAAAATAGCTTATGACTTAGTACGAAATAATGTAGTTGTACTATATACACATGATTATTACTGCAAAAGAGTTTTAATGAGAGTGAAGTTTAATGAAGTGAACCGGTGTTCATTATAGTTTACACAATTGTTAGTTATGTAGATACATATTATGTACGTCTCGTACATTTTAGGTTGACCTTCTACTAATTATTGTTATTCACCAATTTAATTTAATTTCTTATGCTTTTGTACGTGGAGTGGTGGAGAACTACAAACCATTATAATATATAGGTGTTTTAATAAGTGCTATATAATAAAACGCATTTTTAATTACACCTACCAAAATACCACCTACCTAAAACTTAACCTTCTGTGGGGGATTGATATCACTTCCTTCAAAATATCGATTAGGTAATATTTATGATTTATATGGTGTTGATCAAGTAAATCATCCTAGCATACAGAAAGTTACAGTAGGACAGACTAACAAAAACGTACTATGGCATGGTACAATTGTGCTTTCCTAACAATTTTGAATGATCAAAAATTTATTTTATAACTCGCAGGTATAATTATTTTAAACATTGACAATATTTATTATTCTGACATCAGTTTCTATTCTACTCAAACTTCTATTCAAAGTTATATTCTATACTTAATTGAATTTTGTTTTATCCATTAGAACTCTTCCAATTGCATAAAAAAAATGTATTTTATGAAGGCATTTATGAAATACAATTTCAATAAACTAATAAGTTTTATTTTTGTAGACATAGAAAACTACATTCAACTAAAAAATGTACATAAGTCATTGTTTTAACTTTAAACTGAGGAAAATCATTTTTATATTTATTATTTTTTTGAAGCTAAAATCTAAATACTTGTATACTTTAAGTCTATTTATTTAGAAATAAGATCTTTCGAAATAAAAAACTTGATCGGTTGCACCACTTGTATGTGACCGTTAGAAGAGCTCAGAACTTACAGAGTATATTGAACTTTGAGATAGCTTTAAAATCTTGTTCGCAATTTAATACCGACACAACAGTCAACCGTACTTTAGTTATAAATTATAATAAAACCATAATATTAAAACAAAACACCTAAGCTATGGATTTACTGTATACACATTTTAGTGTTGTAATTTGTGTATAATCAAATGATCCATGTTGACAGCACAACGGGGTCGAAGAGGTCACCAGTTTTAGTAAATTCAGTACAAACTCTTCAATATAAATCTACAAATAATATATAATTAATAGGTAAGCTAACCTAGTTTTATTACTACAATAAAACTATGGCATAATTATGTAAAATTATTCGATGGAAATTCGTTCTCAGCAATGTCATTGGTTTGACTTAAATGTATTATGTACGATTAATTATACGATTATACTAAGCGTGTGGGATTTTAAATAGCTTACCACAATTTAAATTAAATAATTCAACAAAAAATAGTTCTGTAAAAAGGGTCGGGTCATGGTGAATTATATTAATAAATTAATATGTTCATATAATAAGCATTGTGTTATAATTTTTTAATTAACTAATTAATTCATAATTATTTCAAACAATGATATTTTTAAAAATAAAAAATAAATTTTTTTTGAAATCAAAAATGTATTTATGAATGTTCCCCGTGTTAATGACTGTCGGTACACTTAAGTACCAACCAAAAAAATAATTAATGACCAGTGGGTGGATCACACCCACAACTGTCCACCTTCTAAGGCTAAATTAAGGGACCCTAGCCGGGACAGGAAGCTACCCTGCATCTGCTCTAAAATATCCTTAGAGACTCTTTGTAAATTTATATAACCACCCAAAGGAGCAAAAGGGCCGGTCGTACCCTTATTTAAATAAACTAAACTTTCAAGTAGCAACGTACAATATCATATATTTAAAAAGGCTTAACGCCGGTTAAGAGTTTAATTCAAATTGTTACCCGTGTATCGTAACCGGCAATCCAATGAAAATACTTTTCTTGATATCTACCTGTAAACTGTTCTTTTGATTCATTCACATATAGCAACCTGGAAATTTAATATGATCTAAGTTAAATGTTTAACCCTTCAATGTCCAATTTTTTTATATATATTTGGTAAAAATAAATAAAGTTGTATATATCTAAAAGAAAAAAGTTTATACAATTTGGTAGATAGCAATTTTTTTAATGACTATAGGGCACCACTGTAATTAAATACATTTTTTCTTACAAAAAAAAAAACATAGCTATGAAGATTTTCCCAACTCCTTTTTTGCCTTAAAACAAATAATTGTATTATTAACTCAAGGCAATTTATCTTAATTATTCCATTTATTTTAATAATTTACACTTGGCAATGCATAGTAATAGAATTATTTTTAACGTTTTAAGTGTTTTTGCTACGGACTGCATAAACTTACTTTAGTATCGTTTACGTACTGGATCGAGGCTAAGGCATATTTCGTGTTAAAATTACATGACGATTTTAATAGACGGTAGGTTGTCGAATTAAACAATTATTATTTAACAATAAAATTGTAATGATTAGTATAATGTGGCATGTAGAAATCCTAGTTACATACACCATAATACATTTTTGATTCTCTCTTGACATTTTATTTTATATTACAATAATATTATTTTAGCATAATACTTGTCTTTTAAGTATTTCGTAGTTGAATGGAAACCAGATGAATTATGCTCATAATCAACATCGTGGACGAATATTGTGTTTTTTGACAATAATTGTCAATATTTCATCATAAATAACGTTTGCATTATGTGCTTGAACGGTAGAAAAAAATAAAACAAACTGACAATTAATTTAATTATTTTAAAGATCAAAGTATTAATTACAAGTCGATTTTATAATAAGCTGTCTATACCCAAAATTTTGCTTAATATTTTTGCAAAATGTGTAATCTAACATTTCCCATCTAGTAGAACAACTATCTCATTTTTTATAATTTTTTGGGAAGGTTGCCTTCTGCATAACGCCATTCATTTGACCTTCTTTTTATAACAAACCCAAAATATGAATACTTTATAAGATTTCTACAATGTGATTTTATTTTTAGTATCTTGACACAATAAACTGAACTAATTTCTGAACAAATAGCAGAAATTTAAAAAAATCATATATATATCAACTGATAACCTACTGCATGTTATAACTTATTAAAATATATAAATAAACCAGTTTCAAATTTTTATGGAATATTCTTTATGCCTATCAATACACGTTAACAAACCAAAAAAAATATCTTAAACCCATTCCCCCGCATGGTGTAATAACTTTTTTTTGGAGGTTTTTGAAATGGTACTTTAAGTTTAAGCTAAATTTTCTTAAAAATTGTAGTTAAATTTTTAAAAAAAAACCCCAAAAATAGGAAAAATTGTACTTTGACCATTACAATTTCTTGGTTATTATGTTAAAGTGAATTAACAGTCAACAGGTATTTGAAAATATGTTTGTTATATTATTGCCATTAGTCATTATACAATGATTTTATCAGTATTCCTATTTCGAGGTTTTACCATTTATAAAATCACATCAAAGCGATTATTTGAAAATAATTATAATCACTTATAATTTACTAATTCCTGTAGACCTGTCAACTGTCAACCTCCCCTAACCGAATATGTTTTTTCTCCAATAAGCTCAATAAACATTTCAAATAATTTAACTCAATAACAGTTTGAAATAAAAACAAACTTTAAATCAGAGAAGATGTAACCTTCCCCTTCCTACTTTGCCACCTCTCCTCTGTACTGGTTCTTTTTAAAAATAATTTTCTGTAAAAATATTTAATAAATTATAAGTATTAGCATTGATTATAAATCGTCGAGCTCTCACGGTACCTACCGCCATAACTAAAAAACAGTATAAAGCGCTCTACAACGGCAACAATTTACGCGCAGCAAAAAATAACATGTCAGTGGGCTATCTATATTATTTATAATCAATGGTATTATAGTTACCTTCATAAATATATTTGTTTTTATTTATTTCTGATTTATTGGGAAAATTCCTTAAGGGGATCACAATTAACACATAGTAGATATGTCATATGAGTAACATATGTAATAGGTAGTTTAATATAATTAAGCTATCAGATTAAGATATTTGGTATCAGCGTTGGAGCTTCTTTGTCTGGTGACTCTGAAAGGGGCCTTTTTAGAATTAAGTTGAGTTCAGTTGAATGTAACCAGGCCAGGAGATCGTTAGAAACGAAAAATTGGCCGCCAAATTAGGTCAGGAATTAGGAAACCTAACCGGTTGGTTTAGAGTGTCCTTCTCGAGGTCGGGTTCTTAAGGAGTCTCCTTCTGCTGGTCCGTTGGCTAAGTGCTAGCAAGTGGACCAAACCTGCCGACCATGACTAATTAAAGTAAGCACCGCTTAGCACGGACTCAATTAAGAGCCCGTAAGCCCCCCCCCCCCCACTACAAGGTAGGTCCCACGGGGGATATATATGTACACTGTTTTGTGTTCGCTGTCACCCCTAACTATTGTCTTATTGATAAGTGCTTAGTAAGCATCTTATTTAAATCGGTATTAGTTTTTATAACACTTCATTTGTTTATTATTCTAAACATAAATATCTATTTTATTATAAACTAGCTGGGGTACCTGGCTTCGCCCAGGGAACAACTTTATTTCAAAATATTTTTTTTTTTATTGAAAAAATATACAATCTATACAATTAAAAGCACAATAAGTATATGTGTTGATATAATACAAAACATGTGATTCATTTAATAAAGAAGTCACCCATTAATTAAACTTAAATTTGTTATTACATTTTTTTCAAAAAAATAACAATAAAGCCAGCTGCCTATATTTTGGGTTGCCAGTCGACACAGCATACTGAAGCAATTGTGTAATTGATATAAATATCAATTTAGTGATTACATTTAAAACAAAATAATTATTGTTAAACTGTAGAATTCAATTTTAAAACGGGAGCAAAAAAAAATAAATGAAAATAAGAATGATTACTACGGAGATATAAATGTAGTATGTGGGTGACTATTAAATTATGAGTATAAGTGGTAGTTTATTATAAACCAAGTGAAATATATTTATAAATCGCATTTACCCCGAGTTAATGGGGAAATTGCATCTTTGGCGAGTGCGAGGGAATATAC